CAGACCGCCGGGGACGCACGGGTCCCGGGGACGTCCACCCAGTTCCGGTGGATAGACAAGAAGGCCGCTGCATACTTTGCCCGTTGGTTCCCTCCCAGCGGCTCGGCGCTCGCCTCCATCGGGCAGCGTGCTGACAGCATGCGCTTCTCTCCGAACCCGGGCCGAGACCTTCGGGTCAGTCGGCGTCTCGCTGACCGCTTGACCGGGACCGTCCTCGACTTTGTCGGCTCTGCCACTGTCACATTCGCGAGCATCTTGAGAAGACAAGAGAGTCAGCTCTGTTTCCTGTCGGTAGACTCACCACATGTTCGTCATTGTAACGTTTTTTCATTACCTGGAGATTTGGAATTGTCTGAATGTCGGGGAGGGGATTCTCTCGCAGGTTCACGTTTACTATCAGTCATCTGAATCTCTTTGGACTTTTCTGATGGATATTGTAGTTTCCTGATGAAACAAAAGACAGGAAAATAATGGACCAAAAATCATTTTGGGGAAGAAAAAACATCTAAATTGATGCATGAAATAGCTGATGACAGATCATTATGACAGCAAGGCATCGCTCAATTCAATTTGAATTATTTGCTTAATCTCCATCTCTTTCAAGATGGAGTTGATTGTGCCTCTTCTTTCGTGGTCAAAAACAATATAACTAAATCAATATTTTTTCACACTTTTGAAAATGAAAAACACTTTTTCCACCTGTTCGTAAGTCATAAACACAACAGAGAAAACAATTTAGATCAGACTGAGAAAATAGATGACCAGATTAGTTTTTCTTTACTTACTGGCGTCTCAGGGCCTCCGTACATTAACATTCTATGTGCTCCATTCTACCAAAGACAATTTGGCAGGAAAAACATTTTCTTTAGCTGCTCTGACAAGTTTACGGTTCATTAAGTTTCTATTTGCCTTACTTTTGCTCTTTCTGTGGCTTTACCTTATAAGATTCATGCATTGCATTAAGCCGACGATAAAAATGTTCTTTATGTTAGTAGCTCAGGGTAAAAATGATCTAATTATTCCATTATTAAATATTATTTCAGGGATTTGTATATTTTCCGTATGAGTTGATCCTCATGTGTTTGGAAAAGGAAAAACAATATAAAATGAATTATTGATAATCAATTCATTGTTACGGGTTTTTTCTCAGAAAAAACCCGACCATCTGTCGCAGGGTGTCCAATGGGAGGATTCTCTCTGCTAGTTTAATTACTGTTACACTAAAAGCGAGCTAGTTGTCAGTTTGTCTCTCTGCTTAATTCACACGAGCTTTTAAGGCCCACACAGGTCACTGGGCTTTTTCTCTCTTTTTAAGTGTTAAAAGCAGATCAGACTTTTGTATTGCTCTCAATACAATACGTTGATCCACTAGAATTCACTCTGAACGGTGCCGCCAGACATTTAACTACAGAGAAAGAAAGAAAGAATCCGTCAAGTTTTAGTGAACCTGCCCTAATGTATTTTACGATTGCTTTTTAAATTACTTTTTTATAAGGCCCATGATGCTTTAGGACCGGCCTATTATCCATCGCAGCCTCTTAGGTTCTGCTCATTCTTTTTCTTAAATTCAAACCGCATACGCTACAATCTGCAGCTTGTTTCTTTTCTTTAAGGTTTTAAGAGATGCGAGCTTTGTGAAACAACAACAGAAAACACATTCATTCATCAATGCCTTTAACAACCTGTCGCTCTTCCCATTGATCTTTTAAACATTTATTGCTCTTATTTTCTGTTTCTTTGCTTTAATCTGTACCTAATGTGTCTCGTTCTTATCCCTTTCTTTTGTTTAAATGTTTGGCTCAAGCTTGGGTTTGAACATTTCAGTCTGTTTTTATTAATTCCCTGTGTCTTATGTTTGTGAAGCACATTTTGGAAGGTTGATTATTATTATTATCATAATATATATTATCATTGTTGGAAGTAGTATAGTATTATCCTCATTATTATTACTATTATTATGACATATAACATCCATATACATTCACACAGAAATGGGCCTCTATGCATATTGTGTACTTTTATTTTAAACTTTTACTGTAAATAGTTCAGCAGGTGTGCAGCACATCTGACAGTAATAATGATAAAACACCCTTTTACGGCTAACACAAAAATCAACGTCAAATTTTGCAATAAAATGAATGACAACTTGCCTCTTCTCTCTCCTCCCGTTGCCTGTGTCTCGGAATCCCTTCGCGAAAGGATTGTTGTCTATTTTCAGCTGCGTTATCTGAAAGTTGTTCCACAGAGGTAAATATTTCTACATTTTTTAAATTTGAATCACGCGTTTGAAAAGTAAAAAGAAAGGGCGCCTTGTTGTCACCTTGTCGTTTTGGTAAGCCGTCACCGCGATGAACTCGGTCTCGCGGAAGACATAAGTCCTGAAGGTGCTGTAAGGCAGTTTCAGGAGGTCGTTTGTCTTCACGATGTGAAATCGTGGCTGATACTTGTGCATCGAGTTGAGGATTGTCTGCAATTGTATAAATGAAAAGAAAGTTGAGGCCGAATGTGTTAGCGAACTAATGCGCGTGGGGCCTTCAATTGAAGAACATATCAACATATATTTATATATGTTGATATGTATATACACAGCAAATTGAGCAGAGTTAAATTTCTGGTGTTGATAAAGATAGAGTCAATCGAACTCTATTTGGAATTGATTTAAATCTGTATGTTGTTAAATCTGTTTGATTTCACACTGCACCACAAAAGAGTTGGTGTCAAAATGGAGTGTTATTACTGTTATTGTGAAACCAACTCTATGGGTCGTCAGTCTCTCAGCTCGGGTGTAAGGAGTGACTACCCTCTGGCATCGCGCGAACAATAATCTCGTGAGAGCAACAATCTGGCGGGATTCAAGTAATTTACCTGCACAACTCAACTGGAACGCAACGAGCAGCACAACGTTTTCGAGGACAGTTTGTTCAAAATTGAAGAAAACGTGTTGCATTGTGTCGGTAAGTAACAGTTAATTAGATAACCTAATGAGTGCTATTATTATATACAGATGGACATATATTTAGACATTAGTAATATATTTATAGCCGCTCTAATGTAGGTTAACTGTTATGCTGCCACCTTTACTGCAGCCAGGCTAATGTCAGCTAGCTAGCAACCGTAACCTACGCTCAGAGCGGACAAACTACTGTAGGCTACGGTAACTGGCAAGCTAACGTTGCCAAGCTAACGTTAGCAAGAGTTTGTTTCTTCTACTTTCACACGTTTTCTGATTACTGGTCTATTGAGTCTGACTGTGAGCAAAATAGAATTCCTGTTGAGTGTTTCAAGTTTGACAATGTAACGTTAAGTTACGTGACGGTACTTTAGTAATGCCAACATTCTTTCAAATAAATAAATGCTAGTTAGCTGGCTAGCTAAGAGCCAGAACCGGTTCCCACGTCTTAGCTGCATGAAAGCAAATATTCTCATACGAGGACTGGGTATATGTATATCTAAATTACATTTTGATTATCAGAAGTGTCGGTAGTTAATATGAAGTTACTATCGGAAAGTTAATCGGAAGGACTCCTTTCTCAAATACGTTTTACTGTGCTTATAGTTACTCAACGCCGCAGGGCTCAAGTTTTGAAGAGGGGGGGTGAACGCTACGGCTGACCGGGCGTGGACACTACGTGCAGCGGTTACGGTTACAGACACAGTCGGGAAGGTTGGAGGGGAGCCAGCGCGGACTTTTTTTTCAGCGTGAGAAATACGATGTGTGGCGTAACACTTGACAATCATTGTCTTAAATACATATGATCTATCACTGGGTAGTAATTAAGGAAGAATATAATATGCTTAGTACTTTTTAAATGCTTTTAATTAAGATTGAGATTGTTTTGTTACTGATAGGTACATTTAAATTGTCTTTGTTCTGTCTGCCATTTTGTAGATCTGGATGTTGAGCTGGTTGCAGATCAAGCATCCTCCTCTGTATTGACATCGCTGTCCCCAACTTCATCCCATTCATCCTTGGTAGTGGCACAGACTGCACTATCCCCAGCTTTATCCCATTCATCTGATTCCACCGTTATTCTGGAGTCCACAAGAAAAAGGAAAAAAAAGAAAGAACCCAACAGGGTTAATGGACCAGAATGAAGCAAAACAGGTAGAGCTTTGAATAAATACATTTGAAATCCAAAATTAATTATTTTTTGTAAATGTATCCGCAGTATAAAGTAATGTCATTAGAAAAGTTAAATTCTTAAAAAAAAAAACTAATTTACCGTAAGCATGCCATAACAATGTAATATTTCTTGGCAGATGGTTGAGGGTGTCATGAGGGCCAATCCAAAGGATGAAGAAGTCTTCAATGAGTATGATAAGACTAAAACACTAACTGATGCAACCCGTAAACAAATGGTGAACATCCTGGTTGCAGATATGATAGAGCTACATGGGTAAGAATTGCAGGTCACTTGAATATGTCATGTGTTGTAGCTAAATAATGCTGTTCTGTATAAGTAGTAAAGGTGTATTTATTCTTACAAAACATACATGCTTAAAAGTAAACTATGACTTATTTTTAAAGGAGGGTTCCACCGTCAAGTGTAAGGACCAATTATGCACTGGGAATTGTGACTCTTTTTCCATACCTCCGTGATCCATTCTCCAAACTTGGATATGTAAGTTCTATCTGAAAACCAAATCAGTGTGATTTCAATATCTTCTTCACTTTTCTAGTTTGTACTCATCTTGTTTCAGATGAGTTTTTGTAGGTTGCTCACCCTTGCATTTTCAACCTGTTTTTTAAAATGTTTTGTAGTCTATTCACTGTCTACAATTTTTGTGTTGAGTAACTTATTCTTAAATTGAAGCATGAGATGCCTCTGTTTGTGTCTTTCTTTAAAAAGGAACACTACTATGATCCTGAGGGTAATACTGGCTTCATTTCACGGAGGATCAAGACGGTTCAACGCAACACCTTTGCTGGCTTGCGGGGTCGTTCCAAGACCGTTCTTCAGGATGGTCCAAAAACCAGGCGAGAATCTCTGTCAACCTGCCAACAGCTATTTGGTGAGGAGTGCAGGGAGGCGATATCTACAATAAGACATTCCAGCGATGAATCTGTGGTCAAAGAGAAGAAGACTTTCCAGTATCGACAGAAGATGGTTGGGGATGATGCATCATCTTCATTCCTGGATGTGTTCCCTCGTTTTCTTGATGTACCTGGATTGGTAAGAAAACTCTTTTGCTTTGGTTGTAGTTGTCCAGTGTAGAACAGTAATATAGTCCAGTGCAGGACAATATGATATTTTTTGGCACTATACTATAATCTCTTTAATCTTCTTTTCAATCTTCCATTTCAGTATTTGACCTTTCATTAATTTTGTCATGTATGCTTGAACCTGTATATTAAAATATTGTTTTCCTTGTTTGTAGATCGACCAGGATTTCTCAATGATGTTTGGTGACGAAGTGTCTCAGAAGTTCCTGTCCAAGTGGTCAACTTTCTTCAAGCCAAACATCACAGACTGCAAGACTGCAAAGAATATGGATGAGTTGCTGTCAGCAACTGAATCTGAGTCTGAAGATAACAATGGTCAGTATAAAACGTTTTGTTGAAATATATATTTCAGTGTTATACTAAATAAATACATTTTTTATGCCTTTAGGATGGGACAGTGATATGTCTTCAATCCTTTTGCTGCTGCATCTACTACCTCCAACTTCAAGGGGCCAGAAAAAAACTGCCAAGATCAGTTCAGCTCAAGCAACCAGCCGTCTTGTTAGATATCTTAAGGTATGCAAAAGTTCCTACACCAAGAATCCCTGAATAGATGTTGGGATTCTGAGACAGTTTTGCTCTGTATATCTGCAGAAATGTGATCAAGATGTTATAGTAATTTATGTCTCTTAACTGACCTACAGGAAGGAGCCAGTATTCCTACCTTCCTTGAGAGTGTCGACGCAAACAACCGTTCCTCCTTTGCATCGGTGAGCAAAAGAAGAATATCCAAAGGTTCTACCTTATTATCGACCGAAAACCACTCCCCGTGCAAGGCACACACATCAGTGGCAGCTTTAGACATTACATTTGGCCGCCTGTTCAAATGTTACAAGTACAAGGTGGGTCAGATATTACGGTACTGAGTACCAGGTTGGGTTGTACTTATGCACTGGATGTACCGATGATCTTCCTGTGTTCAAAAAGATCTGTGATATTATAATACATGAAGAGCACGCTTTCATAATATCCTGTAATGTACAAACAATGTACTATGATGACCACTTTAGTGCATACTGTATAGAAGACCAAATGAATGTGTTTTCTGTCATATCTGTGAAGGCACTGACTTATTTTAGACCATTTGACAAGCAATGCTCTAATGACAATAGTCAAAGAGCGAACATAGTGCCTTATTGTTACATTTAGATAAATGTACAGCAATGAAAAAATATTTGGTAATGTTGATGCATTTGATGAAATAAAAATGTTAAAGTAGTGAACTTGTCATTTGTATTTCTAATTATTGACATTTCATTTAAAGATTTTTTTTGGTGCGGGGGGGGGGGCCGCAATAACACTTTGTAGTGTTAATGGGGCAACTCCTTTTATAGTATGCACATCACACTATAAGAGTTAATTAATGACTCCGATGAGTATTAATTTCTAACACTACCCACTGGTGTTGAGAAACTAACGCTTGAGTATTGTTAAATTTCAACTATATAAGTGTTAAAATTAACTCTATAACAGTGTTAAAATGGCAACACTTTAAAAAGTGTTACATTGACACTGTGTAGTGTGGACCCCATGGGACACTTTAAAAGTGTTGAAATTAACTCCAATAGTGTTAATTTGAGTCTGTCCATTTTGCTGTGTATAAGATTTTCCTTTACAAATATACATCAAGAAATGCCGTATGTTGAAATCCCCACCCTGTACAGAGATGTATTTATGGCACTGCATACTTATGAATAATTATAATTATAACAGATAGGTGCAATAAATACACACATGTACAAGGTATTTAAGTTATTTATGTTAAATATTAATACATGGGCTACTAAATCCAGCATACAGAATGGTAACTTGAGATATATGTATACTTTTATAATAGCAATATTACTATATATAGTGTCATAAATACATCTCTAGGGTGGGGATTTCAACATGCAGTGTGTCTTGCTGTATATTTGTAATGGAAAATCTTAACAACATTATTCTATTTTTTAGAACATAACATAATTATTCAAATGAAAACTCAAATTATATATGAATATGCACAGTATTAGATGATATTATTAAAAACACTTACCCTCTGTTGCGCAATTCTTTAATACGATTTGACAGTATATTGGATTTGTACTACCAGTGATGGTCATCAGTTAAAGTTGAGGTGCGTCCAGGGAGACGGGTATGATATCAATTCATACATGCAATTGTTCCTAACACAGCATCTACCAGTCATGAGCAGTTCAATAAGCTCCATTTCTTAGATGGATGAAGACTTCCTCATCTCCCCTCGATCACTGGTCTCTGATTTACCATTTTTTCCAACTATCCCCAGAGAAAGCACATTGCTTTGGGCTCAACCTCCTAGCGGGGATTGCCTTATAGGACGATCAACTGACAGCCACACAAATCCATCCATTTATGGGGTCGTCTGTTGGGTTTTGTGGTTTTTTCATGATGGTTCACAGCAGACCATCTGCAGGAGCTTGCAAGCATATGCAAAGTTGCTTGTTGAAATCTAATGCTTAATAGCCACAGAGCTTCCCGTGGGGCTGTTAAGCTGCAAGTCGATCCTGATTTACTGTGCAAACCCAAATAACGGAGATAAACCAACTGAGGTGGAGACCTGGACGTCAGGGTCTCTCAGGGCAAAATAATGAGCAAACTCCTCATGCTAACTATAAAAATAAGAGGTTCAGTATAGTGAGCTCTTCAACTACCCGGAAAACATGGGAAGACGGTTCATTCACAATATGACTGAAAAAAAGCCTACAACTTGTGAAAAACAGCGCTCCCTGGTGAGACCTTTGGGATCTACAAATGCAAAAAAGGCGATTATCAATGTTGTTTTCAATTTGGAACCAATGATTGTTTGAGGTGGGTGTTGTATATGTCTGTCAGTGGAAAGGAAAGGGGTAGTTTTTAAATAATTGTTTGCAAACTAAATCAAATTGTATAGAGAGAAATGCTGACGTTAGTAACATAACATAATAGTATATATTAGTAGTGATTGCAATGTATTTTGATGAACAAAGGTCTCAAAGCATTTGCTCTTGAGCACAATTTGCCGATATTTTTGCTTTAATATTTGAATGCAATGCAAACTCATACCCTCACTTATCATGATTATAAAATAAGTAGGTTCTACTTAAAAAGCATTTTATTTAAGGTCGCTCAAACATTTTTAACACTTTTGAAGTCATCATCTCCCTCCGCTCCTCCATGTCCTCCGCGCGAGCCGCTGTCAGCCAATGGGCTTTGAGATGTGGCAACATCTCT